AAACAGCATTATTGTTACTAGGGAGTAAAGTTTATAGAATGGTGCCAACGATTTATTTTCCTGCAGTGGGAGAGCTGTTTATCTTTAAATTAAAAACTCATCATTATCTTGGCAAAGCAGATCTAAGCAACATATGGAGGGAAATTCACTCTGGGAACAAGTCAGCCTTTGCAAATTAACGCTGAAAAGGAAGCTGTACGGTTGTGGTCTAGAGTTGGCCTCAAATGCCAGTCTTTCACCAGTGTGTGACTAAGGTAGATACCACCACTTGCTCACCATTTTCTTATGGAGAAGAAATAGGTTATAATATGTGGAAGTGCTTTTGTACCAGGGAATACTTCAACATGTTAATTCCTAAGTTTAATAAATGTTTCCTTCAAAATTATTTTAAAAATTCACTTGCAAAGCTCAGTCTTTAAATAATTAATGAAAAGTTTGGAGAGAGAAGTAAAACTCACTGTGCTAAGTCCAAATCACTTATTTCCTAGTCGTGAATGGAATCCATTGTTAATGTGATACAACTTCATTGTTCATATCGGTTTAATGTCCCCCGCTCATCATATACCCAACTTCAGCACAGAAATAAAGTTGCTTTGAGTACAGAAAATAATTGAGAAAAATGCATTTTTTTATTTGAAAAGTGTGCAGAAACAATCATTGAATACAATTCGTAACCAGAGTATTCAAACCCAGACACCATGAAATCATTGGATGCTATGATTTCTGAAGCCACTAGAACTTTGGTACAACAAAATAATGACCTAACAGTGTGCATCAGGAACCACCGTCTACTAATGGGAATATAGAATTTAAAAAACCCATGTTTATAGTTTTAAGTTACATTCATAGCACTAGGCAAAACAAGTGTGTGTAGGAGACAGACAAAATAATCAAACGTGCTTGGCCTAAAAATAAGGATAATATTACTTGAAGGAAAACTGTTGGGATACAATGAAGCACTTCAGTGTTATATTAGAACATTGTCTACTTTTAACACACTAAAGCAGGATAATTTTTTAAAAAATAATTTCATATACAATCAGTATCTCTTACAAGGCTATGGACACAGAAAGAAGTCCTATTTGTACATGGAAGATTTTGACCAATTTGTAATATACTACCTAGAATGTCATTGGTTTCCTTAGAAGAAATACAAGATGACATACATATTTTATCAATAGCAAGATGTAATAAACATTTTCAATCAAATACAATGGCTTGAAGTTGCCTACCCATTTGTAATTTCCAATACCTGTACTGTACAAAAATTAGTGTGTTTTCCCTGCTCTGATACCTTTTTACACAACAAGCAGTTTAAATTACAACTGCAGTTTTTTAAAATTAGATTTCAGTTTGTAAATACTGTCTATTTACGAAATGGAACATAATTTACAAACCACTTTCTTACACATTTCTCCTTTGAGCCAGACATGAACCTGTGAGACACATATAAACACATACAGGGTTTATAAGCCCTATGTGAGGATAAGTCACTAAGATATCTCATGGTCCCCAAGTTGTTCTTTCTGGCCACTTTCCTTTCTACAATACTAGGTCTTTTCTCAAAGAGCATTTGAAAAATAAATCGCCTGGGAAGAGAATAAAGATAAACATATGTTACTACTTTTCTGGGAACAGAAACCATTTTGATGTGCCAACAGACATAAAAACAGAGGCCATTGATTAAATAAGAGATCTATTAGGTTAAGGTCAGGCATGCTTGCTCCTACAGAATTTGCTAATAATCCTGTAGACAAAGTCAGCTGAGGGATGTAAGCCATTACTTCCACAACCTGCTGAAAAGGATCAAGGGAACCCATTCAATGAAAAGATTATTTCTTTGTATATTTTTTTTTTCTCAGAAGATGACAAAATAGTTCTACTATTTTGGTACTAATGTTTTTGCTTGTTTGTTAGTGATATTCTCTCGAAATAGGAAATGAGAAAACGTCTCAACTATAGACTGTTGATACAAGGAACTCTGCAGGAAAGCAGCTTTGTGATAGCATTCCCTGAAAAACTAATCAAAGTGCTTAGAATTTATGATATTTTCATAAATGTAATTTATGGAACAATTAGATTTATATGCAGTAAACAAAATGTCTCTAAGTGTCCCAAATTTTTATGCTAATGAAGAAATGTTTTTGTTCAGATATTTGTACTAGTTTAGTTCTAAGGGCATAAACCTCTACTTGGTAGAAGAAAATGAATACATATTTTCTATGAATCTGGTTACAAAAAAATTATCTGTTACTAGGTCTTTCTTTATTCGGACTCAAAATCGACCTTCAGAGTATGACCTTCTCCAGGTTCTGCGTATTTGAGAGAACAATTTAAATATCTTTTAACTCTAATTCTCTTTAAAATAGTTCTTGCTCAACAATATCATTGTAGTTGGGTCTCCACCCAGAAATTCAAGGCAATAAATTTATAAAATTCTCTATATATCTAACCACAAATTGTATCAGTTCTACTTTATGAGACAAGTAGCTTTGTGGATTTATAAAGCATTGAAATGACACTCATCTCAGATAATAGGCTATATCCATTTTCATGTATAAGAACTCAGCACCTTTCCCAGAAATAAGCTGACATCATCTTGGTCAAAGATCAAGAAGAAAATATAGTTTATGGTGAATTCTCAGACAACTTTTGCAAATAGAGGCAGCATCTTGGCATCTTAAAAAATGATAAAGCTTTCTCTAAAATATGCAAATACACAGACTTCTTTTAATGTCTTAAAGCTTGGTTGTAGAGAGGCAAAGACAACTATTCTATCACTTTGGCAAATACCAGCTCTCAGATCTTCTTTATAAACAGTTGTTATGTATCTTAGGAAACCAAAGACTTGGAATATTATTTCTTTATAGTTGAGTGTTATCGATCCAAAATCCTTTATGAATGAGGATTTTTCCCTCAAATGTTTGCTGTAATACTACATACTAAGGAAAGAATATGTGCCTTTTTTTAAGTGAAGAGAGATGCAGAACAATGAACAACCTGTTTCATGAACACAAGGTTATATACTATGCTTAACTAACCACTGCACCAATTGCACAATATTGCTTCTCTTTCTAACTGCTGCACTCACTCCACTGGTGAAGAGATATACAGGTTTCATCAAATTTGTTGATTCCCAGTGTACTCAATTTACAGCTTAAAGAATGTCTTATTGTGACTATTAAATTATTTTTAATGTAGTCATGTCCTTCTCTATGGTCAAGCTTCTCTTTCTCACAAAGGGGACAAGAAAGAGCTGATGAAAACTCTTGCCTATACAAGTTGGCAAAGAACAATTTATAGTAGAAGCATGACAAAGACACCTATCTGGTTAAAAATAACAGATAAAATATTTACTTTAGAAATTGCTGGTTTTAAATATTTTGCAGGGTGATAGTTGATAATATGAAAATGATAGCAAATTGGATAAAGTGGTAATTTGCAAGAGTTTTGTTTGTTTGTTTTGAGACAGAGTCTCACTCTGTCACCAGGCTGGAGTCCAGTGGTGAGATCTCAGCTCACTGCAACCTCTGCCTCCTGGGTTCAAGTAATTCTCCTGCCTCAGTCTCCCAAGTAGCTGGAATTACAGGCGCCCACCACCACACCCGGTTAATTTTTTGTATTTTTAGTAGACACAGAGTTTCGCCATGTTGGCCAGGCTGATCTCGAGCTCCTGCACTCAAGCGATCCACCCACCTCAGCCTTCCAAAGTGCTGGCATTATAGGCATGAGCCACCGCGCCTGGCCAAGAATTTTAAAACTCTTACGGAGAGACCCACAGGCTCAACTCATGGCATTTAGTAGTTTCTCTGTCAACCCTTGACCTCTTGTCATCATCAGACCAAGACAAATATGTTCTCAGGACGATTTTTGAGACATTTTTTCAAAGGATCTTTCTTTTTCTACCCTAAAAGGTAAGCTTGTACCTAATCACAGCTAACAGTTTCAGGTGATGCCAACTCCATAAGAAGTAAGCAAGGAGACAAAGAGAAGGTGGTTATGCTCTCCAGATTCCAATAAAGTCTTTGAATCTCTTGCTGATAATATCAGAAGATCTTTAGCTGTGATAGTGTCTCTGTGAGGGCTTCCTATGTTATAACTTTATAGGAAATGAGCTATGTATGTGGTTGGGGACAAATTTGGTCACAGAGGTATCTGAGGCACTGAGTTAGAGCAAAGTAAACATCAAACCAGTGTAAATACTCCAGAAATGATTTCTATATCAGAAAGGAGTTTCATGTACATTTTAAACATTTCTCCTAAATACAATATGTTTTACTAAAGCATTGGGAGATACTTAGTAACAGGATACATGTTGGCTAAAAATACATACTGTTATGGGGTAAAGAGCATACGGAAATCTTTAAAGTAGTCTGTATACTTTATGGCACCAGATCAATTTGAAATTGTAAAATGAATTATACAAAAATATTAATCATGAAATAATGAGAGAAGGAATTTCTAATAATGATTACATAAAATATGGGGTCAGTTGTCAAACTTTATGGAGAAAAATTTTTTTTTAGATCAAGCATTTATTTATAAATAGATTTAAATCAGTTTGTCACTTTTCATTCCTCTTGAAATATCCAATGATTGTTATTTTTACAGAAATAGTTCCATAATTATGGGCATCATCAGCCTCTGCTTCATGCTACAGCGATCAGATAATGATCTTAAAACAGTCCCTGAAAAAAATACTCATTAAATAACTGACAATGACAGAATCTTAGCATAAGTAAATCAATCATGTAATTGAAAATGAATAGAAACAAAAAGACATATCAAAATAGAATACTTTTGGGGTTTTATAAAGGCTTCACATTCCCTATTAAGGAAATGCAGGGGACATTCCAATTCAAATCCAAAGAAGAAATTGATAATAATGACCACGGAAGTGCACCAAATTTTGCCACAGCAATGGCAATATCACTTGTTTCTGCTCATTTTCCTTCCAGAAGAAACATCTTAAATGTTAGTTTTCTATCTTCATGGCACAGGCATTGAGATAACGAAGAGCATCCCAGAGGAAACACCATGAGAGGGAATATCCAACCACGATCCATCTTAGGACCTGCCATGATGCTGCAGAAATCAGAGGAGCTGGGCAGTTAATGCTGAGAATTTCACTGGGGGCTAATAGCATAAAAGCTTCCAAATTATTCATATTTGGATTCATGGTACATTTATGTGTCTAGTCCATCCTAAGAATATTATAAAGAGACATTTCCTTGGATCTGCCTGTGTTTCTGAAACTGATTCAATACCAGACAGAAGTTGGTAGAGGGAAGCTAAATAACGGATTGGGAGTTTTAGGGTCTTCAATGTGTATAACAAAAAAATATGCACATAGTATGAAAAAAATAGGTTTGACTGGAAAAAAATTATAGGATGAGGAAACAGCCAGTCAAAAAATCATACGCTCATAATAAAAAAAAATGAAAATACATTGTCTCTGTTATTGGTAAAATTGACTGAAATAAATAATATTTGATAGGAATGGCTTGTATTTATCAGAAACTAAGATCAAAAATTAATGTAATGTTAGATTAGGCACAAGGACAGACTAGGCCAATGTAGGCCAATGAAAAACAACTTTGTTATTATTTCTTGGAAAGAAAAGGCAGATTTACATTAAAAAATACTGACCAATTTTTTGGTATATAGGCCCTTCCTCACCCAACCCCACAAATACAGCTCAACTATAGGTGTTTTTGCCTTTGGCAAAATAAAATCATATTATAATACAGAATGAGGTATTATCATTTTTTGTGTGATTAATGACATGGAAATTCAGAGTGACCATAGAATTGATCCACCATTGTTCCAAAGTTACTGATCAACAAAATAACACACCTGCATTTCTGCAATTGGTTGAAAGCCAGGAATGGGTGGAGTTTGGAGGGAAGAAATGTGATTTAGAGTTTCTAGTGCTTTTGTAAACTAAAAGGAAACCCGCAATAATTGTCACTTTTTGTTTCATATCACCAGCATATTTCATCTAAAAAAATTCAGGGCTAGTTTTCCTTGACTGCATTTTAAAAGAGATTTAATAAACCATAACTGTTAATTTCTCCTTTTATTTTATCAACATGTACTAAGAAAAAATGAAATGTGAACCTGAACACCAAATTGATTTCTAAAATTTTGTTTGAAATGGAAACCTCTGAAGTTCTCTTAACCCCAGCTGATAACGTCAGCTCCTAATAGGCTTGAGTGAAATTTGGCTAAGTAACCCTTCCAGATATCTTTAACAGATACAATTAATTTAAGCTGTACAAATGCCAATCTCTCATACTTTCATTTTTTTCCAGGGTATTTGTCTTGTACTTTGTCATTTACAGTCCTGTTCTTGTCGATGTGCTATTTATTAAGAATATAAAGATGGCATTATGACACTATCTCCTGCATTTTAGAAGTGTGACATTTACCTATTTGTAACCTTATCAGTAATTTAGTCATTCTAGTACAGCTTTTTGGGTGTACATAGTAATGTCATTCATAATGAGCCAAATAGAATTCTTCATTGTGTATCCATTTTTAGCTAGTACATTTTCCCTAACGCAAATCTAAAATTATCCATCTGATTCAATATAATAAGTAAATCCAATCTTTTGAAAATCTTCTTCCTGTGTTCTCCCTTTAGTAGCCCACCCTTCGATGTGACAGGTAACTTGTTCTGATTTAAAACTCACTGATAGTTCTTTTATATTGTCTTATTTACTCATTTTCTCTATAAGAAAAATAAATTGAATATCCGTGATAATGAAACCACATTGGGAAATCTTTCATCTTGTCTGAAAGGGCCTCAGGGATAACTAGTCAATTCTTTTGAACACTGTTGACTATTCTGGTTTCTTAGATTTTCTGGCAGAAAAAGAAAGACATGCCATTGTGTATTGTTTACTCAACAACAGTTGTGTGGTTTGTCATTGTTTTTAAAGGTCATATTTGGGTGGGGTTCTTGACGATCAGTTTCCATGTGGAGTCTAGCAGGCACATTTCTTCTCTGGTGGCTTTTCCCCATCCAACCTTCCAGAACTTCCACCATTGACAGCATCGGGGATTTGTGTCTTCTCCACACACTGGTCCATTCGCTTCATGATTAAGTCCAAAAGGGTTTCTACAGCTTTCTCCACATTCTGTCCAGTTGCTGCACTTGTTTCAAAATACGGTATGCTAGCACAGAAAGGATGGCAAATGTTTTTTGAGAGGAAGAAATCAGAACAGATACAGCAAGATGTACAAGCGAATCACACATGCAAAAACGGCTGGCTGAGAGACCGTGAAATAATTATGTTTTCTCTGGCTAAGTTGGAAAGCATCCCTGTTTTTTCCTTCAGTGAGTAAAAATTGGTGAGCTGCTCTTCTAGTATGGTTAACTTAACCAGTTTTATGGGCAAGGAAATTGATACAAGAGGTAGTCAGGAAGTTGAAGCCAAAGCATTATCACTGTTTAAAAAAATTAGGAGGAGAAAAATACCCCATGATCAATAAAACTACCGATCAACATTACCATTAAAATACTGCCTCCCTTCCACTCGATTATCTGGAAATCTGCTTTTGAAAATAGGCATGCATTGACCAGGCGCAGTGGCTCATGCCTGTGATTCCAGCACTTTGTTAGGCCAAGGTGGGCGGATCATAAGGTCAGGAGATCGAGGTCATCCTGGCCGTGGTGAAACCCCATCTCTACTAAAATACAAAAAATCAGCCGAGTGTGGTGGCATGCACCTGTAGTCCCAGCTACTCAGGAGGCTGAGGCAGGGGAATAGCTTGAATCCAGGAGATGGAGTTTGCAGTGAGCTGAGATCATGCCACCGCATTCCCAGCCTGGTGAAAGAGCAAGAAAATGTCTCAAAAAAAAAAAAAAAAAAAAAAGGAAAGAAAGAAAACGGGCATGCATTGAATAAGGCTATTCATGTGAATACAGTCAATATTTATTTGGAATTAAAAGTTTCAAGAAGACTTGTAAATTGTACAGCTCTCAGGGAGAATTCTTCCATAAAAAAAATTGGCAGACATGATAAAACTACTTTAAATTTAAAAAATAATGACAGATTTTTCCTCGGAAGTCAATTTACAATTACATGGGGTGTTGTTTCTGTTGCTGTTTTTTTTTTTTTTTTTTGGTAAGCTGCCATTCAAGCTCAGCTGGGATAAAGACTACATTTTCATGTCCATGTCAGGGATTATACCTTAGAGTTTTACATCTGTTATTAAGAGGTAGAAGTATAGTGTTTAAGAGCATGAGCTTCGATCTCAGACTGCCTGGATTGAGTTGAAGCTCTGCCTCTTACTAACTGTGTGAGGTGGCCTTCCAACAGTTTCTTAATCTCTCTGTGACTCAATTCTTATATATAAAATGGGATAACTCTAGTTATCTCCCACACATGGTTTTGAGGGGTCAAAATGAGTTAGTGTCTAGGAACTGTTGCCAGCACATTGTACATTGCCATTCTTGGTTATGAGGATTTCTTCTAATATCATTCTCATGCCCCTGCTCCATTTGTTGAACAGAAGTGTGCACAGTCACATGCTGTCTCCATGTAACTGACTTACCCGTATTTGTCAGCCAGTTCCCGAGCTTGCCGTTCATTGACTTCCCTCTGGTCCAGTAGATCTGCCTTGTTGCCAATTAATACTATATCTGGATTTTCACAATAAGCATTTGCTTGCAGTTGGCCTGAAAATAAAGCAGATGGAATCAGCAAGTTATTGATACATAAGTGATGTCAAATGATTGCTCTTATTCCAGATTCCTGATCTAATTGTTCATCTCCAGTTTGGTTGCTTGCTAGTTATATTAGCCAAGTTACTTCCTCTTCCCAGTCACAGTGTGCTCATCTATAAAATGGAGATAACAACTTACAAATTGCAGATTATGGAAAGGACTAAAAATATATATAAAGCACCTGTATCAATACCCAACATTTAGTAAATATTAGGTGCTTTTATTATTGAATAATTCATTAAAACATGTATTCCTCTGGGAGATCTTTTTAATCCATATGCTGTTCTTAAGGGGATTTCTTCTAATAATGTATATCAAGTTGCCAGCACATAGTAAGTATTCAGTAAATATGGAATACATCTGGGGAAATGTCCTCTGAAATGACCATAACTGCTTCACACCATTTGTTCCTCAAATATAGACGGAAATAAATAGAACATGATTTTTAAGTGAATAAATTTTCTTTATCCTTTAGGAAGTTGCTATATTTCCCTTCCCTAACATCTAAAGTGATGATCTATAGTGTGGAACACATTTGAATCACTATAAATTCATGCAGAAACAATTTTAAGATAAGTAAATTGTTTTTCTCTTTTCTACAAAAAACACTATGTGTGTGAGGGGTGGTAAGGAGAGAGAGAAAGACAGAGAGAGAGATAGGAGGGAGAGAAGAAGGAAGGAAGGAGGAAGGGAGAGAAGGAGGGAGGGAGAGAGGGAGGTAGGGAGGGAAGGAGGAAGGAAGGAAGGAAGAAAGGAAGGAAGAAAGGGAGGAAGGAATGGAGGGAGGGAAAGAAGAATGGAGAGAGGGAGGGAAAGAGAAATGGAGGGAGGGAGAAAAGAAGGAAGAAAGGGAAGAAGGGAGGGATGGAGGGGGAAGGAAAGAAGGAGGGAAGGAAGGAAAGGAACTCAGGGAGAAAGGGAGGCAGAGAGGGATGGGAGGGGAAGGCAGGGCAGGGAAGGAAGGTGAGGGTGAGAAAAAAAAAAGAAAATAAGAAACCTGTCAAACTGTGTTTTTGAGGTTACAGAGACTACTTAAATGTCTATCATAAAGCATGTTGTGAACTACCTTGCTGAGACTAGAGGAAGAAGACAAAGGCTTACCCTGTAATACCAATTACTTGGATGTTAAAAAATTCAACTGTTATTAGGCATGACAATTAATTATTTTAAATCCCAGAAATATCCTTCTCGAGACATTTAAAAACAAGGGAGCCTCTCATCTGCCTTGAAAAAGGATAAACAAACCATTATCTGAAAGAATTTAATAAGCTTATTATCTCCTTGTCTTCAGAATCTAATGCTACCACCAAAATTTGGGTAAGGAAATACAGTATTACGTGGAAATAAAGGACAGATCCTATGAGTAAACATTCATTTGGAGAAGCATTACAAAAGTCAGGATTTGTTTCCCCATTGGTTACAATATTGAAACCACACTGAGAGTGGTTCTATATAATTATTATATATAATCATGAATTATATACAACATATATTATTAATTTTACATAACATGTAGTGTTAAGAAATATATCTATTTTGAGCACCTGCTCTGTGCCAGGCACTCATCCAGGTATGGTATATTACACTGAAAAAAAGTGGAAAAGTCTGCATTTTCATAAGCACTTACATTCTAGTGGTAGAAAGCGTCAAAAACACAAGTAAACCAAAAATACATCACATCATGTCAGGTGATGCCTGGGACTGAATGAACTCTAAAGCATGTTGAGGGGATACAGAGTGATGAGTACTATTTCATATGGGGTGGTCAGTCAAGAGATAAACAAGGCTTGGGTAAAACTTGAAGTGGGTGTAGAAATGATATGGTTTGGATCTGTGCTTCACACTGAAATGTAATCCCCATTGTTGGAAGCGGGATCTAGTGAGAAGCGATTGGATCCTGGGAGAGGATTTCTCATGGTCTACCACCATCCCCTGGTGCTGTTCTTGTGATCGTGAGTTCTCATGAGATCTGGTTATTTAGAAGTGTGTGGCACATCCCCCTTTGCTCATGCTGCTTCTGCTATGTCAGATGCGCCTTCTCCTCCTTCACCTTCCACCATGATTGTAAGTTTCCTGAGGCCTCCCAGAACCCAAGCAGATGCCAGCAACATGTTTCCCATATAGCCTGCAGAACCATGAGCCAATTAAACCTCTTTTCTTTATAAATGACCCAGTCTCGGGTATTCTCTACAGCACTGAAAGAATGAATACAACAAGTAAACCAAAAACTACATAACACAGTATCAGGTGATGGCCATGACCTATAAAGTGTGTTGAGGGGAGACAGAGTGATGAGCACTATTTTAGATGGGGTTGTCAGTCCAGAGATAAATAAGATTTGGCCAGAACTTGAAGGGAATGAAGAAACTAGCACAAGGCTGTAAATGGGAGAAGAGAAAACAAAGGGGAATGGCAAGTTTTCATATTGGGAATAGCATGGGAGCCAGTTGGGCTGAAGGCTAGTGAGCTGGGCCCGAGTAACAGGAATTAGAGAGGAAGCCCAGGTATCACAGTGACCCTGTAGGTAAGTGAAGGACTCTGGATTTTATTCTGGGTAAAATGGAAAGTTACAGAAGGACTTTGAGCAGGAGAATAACAAGGTCTAGTTTTTTAAAAATACCTCTCTAACTACAGATGGCCCAGACAAATCTGGAAAGGACAAGAGCAGCCCCACAGGACAACTCGTCTGTCCTGCTATGAGTGTATCCTGCTAAGATCAAAATTCTTACTTGTAATAAAAAATACAAATGAAATATGCCCTTTATTGCTACATCAAGTAAAACACAAAGGAAAATTCTAATACTTCTCTCCTGTGTTGATGTATGTCAATATGACTTTAGTAGTTGATTAGGGAACATTTCAATTTTTATTATATCAAAGTTTCAATTTTTATTATAACTAAGTTTTTATTATATCAAAGGCTGGAGATTCGTCTTTACATGGTTTCCTTACATTTGAACCTTTTTTGAAAAGTAAAATGCCCAAGGGAGCTGACTGATTGACACACTGTGCCTCACCTTATCATCACGCAACTGGTCTGTTCTGGTTTCACACCTAATTAACCCATCAGTGCTTAACATGCCTTAGGTGTCAGCGTCCCCTCTCAGAAAACACTGCTGGTTTTCCCTGTGATCTCTCCAGGTCAAATGTAGTAGCTCACTTAGTTTTAAGAAGTCCTTCAAGATTTACTGGAAAAGTGGAATTAATGATCTTTCAATGACAATAATAAAGATCATAAATACAGGTGGTGATAAAGCAAGGTAGGCTTCCTCTAAAAATATCAAAGGAAAATACAATTCCAAGCTGCCTTTGGTGGTACACATAAAGGCCACCACTTTGAAGGTGACACAGGCAACACTCAACTCATGACTTTGAAAGTTAATCTGTGGTACCCAGTCTGGTTGCATCTTGTGAGACCAACAAGCACCTAGGGCAGTTGGGTCCCAAAGCGGCCAATGCACATTACTCAGTCCCACTTACTCATCCAGTTTCTGACATTTAAGAAGCTCTGTTGACTGGTGAGGTCAAACATTAATAAGAAGCCCATGGCGTCTCTGAAAAATGCAGTGGTGAGACTCCGGAACCTGCCGAGGAAACACAGTGGGAAGTTCTGAAAGTTAGTGCACATACTTTTGACAACAACACAAACAACAGTTTCCCTTTCAGGTATGAATTCTCCACAGCTGGTCCTTATGGACTATCCTAGGGAAAGAGGAATGTGGGCAGAGAGACTGTTGAAGAACCAAGGGAGAAGATTTGGTCGTAGTTTTTTTTTTTTTTTTTTTTTTTTTTTTAACCACTTCCTGGTTTTCTGGTCTCACAGCACTTTGTACCCACAGTTTGTAACGTTCAATCATGAATTTGCTTACACGGCTTTTTGGAATCTTTTTTTTTTTTTTTGGCTCGTGGGCATTTCATGGTCTACAATTAAAATGTAAAGCACTTTAGAGTGGGCACTTTAACTTATACTTTCCATCTTTCTTGTCTCTGCCCAGAAGAAAGCTTGCCTGAAAACGAATGCCTGTGATGATATGAAGAAAACCACAACTTGTTAGTTACAGGAAATGGAATTCTTTTGTAGGGAAAAATATTGATGACAAAACTCTTTTTAAAATGCACTGTTTTGGGGTAAAACTGAGCTTCAGGTTGGCATCTAGGATTCACAAGGAAAAGGAAGATGATTGGGGGACTGAGTGAGGGTCAGGACAGAAAAGACATAGTCATTGGGGAAAGAAAGAAAGAACTCTCATTATTAATCAAGATTTTGGAGAAATTTGCTCTTTCGTGTGCAATGCAAAGTTTTTCCCTCCCTGGTCAGCTTTCCATGCCCCCACCCCCGACCCCACACACTACCAACCATCTTCAGTGAGGTTAAAGATGTGCTGAGATTCACTTCAATATGAGCAGTGGGCAAAACCAGAGACCACATACAGGGACCAGAGAAGGTTTTGAATTTGGCAGTGGGTTTTTAGAAAGGCACATAGCTTTGAACTAGCGATATCGCTTCCTATCCTAAATGTTCTTCTAATTTTTGGTCTCCTATTTTAGCCTATTGTTAGATCCTTTGTGTTGGTTTCCTCAGAGTTCTATTCTTGACCCCTCTCCCTCTATACACATTCACTGGATAATCTTATCCACTTCACTGGCTCAGTTGTAGCCTGTAAATTGAGAAGCCCAAAATTAGAAATCTAGCGCTTCCCCGCCTTTCACACTGGGTGCCTAATTACCTGTTGGATACTTCCACCTGGAGGAAACTCAGGTACCTCCAACTTCACACATCCAAAACCAAACTGGCCACTCTTCTTGATTTATTTTCTGTCTATGATATCACCATCCTGGTTGCCATGATCCCTTCCTCCTTCACTTGCTGTCTACAGTTAACACGTCTTTTGACCTTCTCATTTCTTACTCTGCCCCTGCTCTACTTCCAAACTCATTTTCTCTCACCTGGACAACTTCAACAGCTTTCTCATTAGGCTTCCTGTATCCAGCTTTTTTGGGACCCTACTCCTATCACCACTCCATGTCTTCCCATAGATTATATCAATGCTCCATGAAAGACATTTTAATGATTATACATCACTCGTAAGCCAACGCGCAGACTCCTTAAAAAGCTGTCAAGGACCTGCAGGAAGTGATCTTTGTTCATCTATCCAGCTCCATCTCTTTGACTACCCACAGACATGATGATCTTTTAGTTCTTAGAAAGTTCACTCTGCTCCCCTGGGCTTTCACACATGCTGGTCTTTCTGTGGGTTACCTTGCCTTTGTGCTTCCTTTACTTCCTACCCCTTCCTTTATCCAGGATAGCACTCACTCATACATTGTGCATGAGTACATTCATGATGGTATCAGAGGAAATATCATTTCTCCAAGGGACCTTCCCAACACTGCATGTGGGCTATAGGCTCCTCCTGGTGGGCCTGCCTATACCTTTGTTTTCATGTTACTATTCTAAGGTTCCATTGCAATTGTTTTTTCATCCAAATTCTATCTTAGACTGTAAGCTCCAAGGGGAAGGGAGCTATGTTTCTAACTTGCTATTTGTCGTATTTTTATGGCTCAGAACATGGTATTTGCTCACTAAATATTTGAGAAATTAAACAGTGCAAGAGAAAGAAAGAAACAGTAAAAGATATACAATTATTAAATATTTTAATTGACTGCAACAGAGAATGATAGTTTTCATACCAAAAGATGGGAGAAGAGATATTTTCACTGCTATTTATTTCCAAAGTAGGATTTGTTTGTAGGGCATCATCATGATCTAAAAATGTAGAGCAGAAATGCCAAAAAAATTTATTCAATTTCTTCTTGTGGATTTGTTTCTACCATTCCTTGGAAGCCCACAGAGATTACAGCATTTTATTGAATAGTTCTCCCTCTTTGGAAACTAGCTGTACCCACAAAATTGTCTCCTACTCAACCATAATTGTGTCATGCCAGGAAAACTGCTCTTTGTTCTCTCTTTAAGTGTGTATGTCTCATTTGAGGACAAGGCTGTGTGTTATTCCCTGTCATTGCCCAGAGTGTATGACAAAGTTACTCACAAACATGCTTGCCACAGTGATCTGATTGGGGCAAACACTTTCTCCTCCACAGCAGCATAGATAGAACACGCTTGTTCCAGAGCAGTAACAGATATCCTGGTCATTTCTGTCTAGTATCTTTGATATTCCCTACTCCCCCCACCCCTGGGGAGACAAGTAATTCATTTCCAGCCTTCCCAACCCATCTCATTCTGTCTGTTGAGTCAGCCGGGTGAAGGAAACCAGTAGAACCATGTTCCAAAGAGTTAAAGAAACCAATGACGAACAGAAATTGAGTTTGCAGAATGGCAGATAAAGAAGGAAATAACTTGCTGAAACAATGAAACTTCCTCTGCTTATGAGATTAGAGAGCTGGCTGAAATCGATTGGAACCGATATGGCCAACTGGAATCTGTACAGAATGAGCTTGCTAATGTCACAGCCTGAATTTTTAACCACGTGTTTCCCACTAACTTCCCTTGAATTTCCACATGTGACCCTTGAGATAGCATGCAGACATAAGTGCACATGTCCAAGGACTTTCCAGCCCTCCCCTTTCCTTCTACCAATCACCTGTTAATCTCAGAACCCCCCCCCCCCCCCCAACCTTTTCTAAAAAAATACTGCTTCAAAAGCCAGAACAAAAAGACAGATTTGAGCTTGACACTCCTGTCTCCCTGTGAGTCAATTTGCAATAAAAACATTTCCTTTTCTCAAAATCCAGTGCCATAGTATTGGCTTCTAGTGCATTGAGCAGCATGCTCCCATTTGCTCGAGGATACTAGGATCACAGAAGAAACAGACCCCAAAGTCAATTATCGCTCTTCCCAGTCACTGGGAATGAAGGCTGTGCCCTACATCCTTTAGGTTTCCTTAAGGGCCATGGGTTTTCTCTTCCTTCCCATGATGTGGCTTCTATCAATATCCATTATCTTCCATGGATTGCACTGCCAGATGTCCTTAGGCACAGGGCTGAGGTGTGAGACATTGCTTATCTTGTTGCTTAGCTACACCTTATATATACACACAGAATGCAAAATTCTCAAGGGATGAATAACCCAAGTGCTACAAAGACTGCCCTGAGTCTTCCCTATTTCCCCCATAGAGCAGCTGCCTTCAGGGGACAGACAGAGAAGGCTGCCATCACGCAAGGCTGACATATCATGTGTGAGGACATATGGGAACCACATTTTCTCATATTACTTCTTCAAAAATGAATTAAAGTGCTCTATAAAACATACATCTTTGTGACAACAAAACTGACATGTGAACAGAGATTCTTGTAAGGAATGGCTTCAGAGGAACCAGCAGTGTTGAAGGGTGTGTGTAAATGGAATTCACAGTCAAAAAAGCTAACAGAGAGGGCCCAGCACCTCTCCTGGCGTTTACACTCACTGAAAGCGAGAACACTTTGGATGCATTTCAAAGACGGAAGTGTTTACAAGCATAAGCATTATGAGACATACGATGCAGAATTTGGAGGTATGTGCCTTCTAAATATCCTCTCTGCCAAGTTTTTGCCACTTTTAATTTAATCTAATATTGAAAAGCTTCATTAGCTTAGGGTCTTTTGCACTTGGAAATTTTGGTTCCCCCAAAAATATTTTTTCACCTAACAATGGAATAATACCTCCAGCTCTTAGGAGTTAGCACCACTATCTACTGAGTATTATCTTGGACACTGTACCAGAGACAATGCTGAAAAGCCAGGCAAGATCTCCACACCTGTAAAGCTGACGATTTTATTGGAGTGAGAAGGCCCCAAGTAAATCAGTGGACAACAGTTAAAGATACAAATAGAATACTAATATTACAACAAGGTGGGATATAATTACTTTAGGCCTTAATGGTGAAACAACTGGTGTTTGCAGGAGTTCAGAGGAAAAGTGAGAGTTTGTTTCAGCTGGGGTGTTCAGACAGGCTTCATAGAGGAGATGAAAGATGAACTGGACCTGGTGCAAGGAGAGGATCAGAAAAAATGGGAAGAGAGTAAAATATTCTAGCTGGAAGGTAATTGTTTACAATCAAAGTCTGAAAGGACAAAGCCAGTCACATGGCATGGGACAAAGAAGCTGTGCTGAAATAACAGAGAGAGACAAGAAAGATCTTAACATTCTTTCTTCAACTCCCTCTTCAAGTAGCACTTATAACAGCGTTTATCTCCCATCTTCATTCAATTAAATTATGGAGAACCCCTTTTTTTCTTCTAAAAAGTGCAAAGACAATGCATAACAAGAATCTTCAGAGATATATTTGAAAGTCTGATTTTTGAAATTTGTACCAACTGCACAATGCTACTGTGGTTAATTAATTACAAATCATTTATTTTTATTTCTGGATACTAATGTGTAATTTGAAACCAGGATAAGAGTTGTATATTATTTGTTTTTCAAGTTTGCATATAGCATTCATTTTAAAGTAAGTTTTTCTAAGCTATGTGTAGGTACAAATAAAGCAATTTACATTACCGCTCTTGTCCTGCAGTGTCCCACAGCTGAAGATGCACTTTAAATGCTTTCCCTGAAGATCCATTTGGTCCTTGTGTATTATAAACCTGAAATATATAATGTTCATTAGTTGAGGTTGCTTTGGATTTTGTCAACACTCAAATTCTCTGGGTTCACTCAGCATGTTTTTTCTCAATTACTATAATCAAAGTTCATAGTGCAGAATAAATATTTGCTCTATTTTTTTCCAGAATTATCACATGTACTCTCACTTTTAAATGTCAAGTGCAAGTATGATTTTCAACACAGTTTAGGCATATTGCAAACTTAAATTAGACGCCTTCTGTCATTTTCTCATGAGGCAGCAAACATCAGATTTAGGACCCAAGTTCTAGGTTCAAATACAAACTCTTCATTTAACCTCTTTGAGGCTTATTTTCTTATCTCTAAATAGAGATCCGACCACTTCCTACTTTATAGTTACTTCAAACTGCAAAATTTAGTGAAATCACAGATGTTAAAGCATTTTTAAAACAGTAAAGTGTTTTATAAATACACAAATATCCTTTACTGAAAAACAGACTTTCAAAATGCACAGAATGTCTCAATAAGTTGACACAGGATATTTTAAGCCTTTCTTCACTAGTCATTTAGTCAAAGGTTCTTTTTAGGTAAGTTTAAATTTTTTTTTAAAATTCTGGCCTTTTTATTGTTGAAGGAAAGCCTAAAACATTTAATATTTACTCAGTTATCTTAGGTATAGCTTAGTGAATATGTTTTAAAGGGAAAATTTCCAAGGACATGTACCCCTATAAAGGAAAGGATGGAAGGCAGGAAAACACTGAATGGGTTATTAGGGAGTTTGCTAAGCCCACAGGACCATGTACTGACTTTCAGATAAGGTCCAGCACATTATAAGAAACATGATTCAACTTGCCAGGCAATGGCTTCCAACTACCATTCTTTTGTTTTCTTCCCCAGTTCTCAAGGAATAAGTAGATTTGTGACATCAACTGGAAGCCACAGCCATTTGGCAATCAAGAATACCCAGGGTGGCAGTAAATCTGGCTGAGCTTCTGTGCCTATGCTACACATCTCACATGTCACAATATCCTTATTCCTGTCAATAGCGTCTAGCATAGGAGAAGGAAGTGGTTGTGATTCTCACTTAAACTCCCTTATCTTGGAAAATAGCATGATTGGTCTCACATTCTGTTCATAAGAAGCCAGTGATTGATGGCTGAGTCTACACATAAATAAAAATGCAGCAAGAACTTACAAAGCTCATGTTCCAGATATTTGCCAATCATACTTTCAACTTCTTTCTTAAGAGTGGGGAAATGATCACTTGCTCTTATTGAGGAATTTAACTCAGATCAGAGTTAATGTTTTTAGATTCTAATAATTCAAGTTTTGAAAGATGTCTTAAGAATTCATGGAAAACACACATACAAATCTGTAAAATATTGACTTGGGTTGCCTTGTGTAATTTGGGAGACGAGAGAGTGCCACTTAATATTTTTTTAAGAAAAATGTTATTTATATCTGAAAAGTAGTAAATAATATTCTAAAATAAAGTAATAGGTTATGAATTTCATGTGACAAAAGACAGACTCGAATGCAATCAACATAGCTTCTGGATTCTTATTTTATATAGGGGGATGGATGACAAGTACGATTAAAAACTCACCACACGTTTTTCCCGAAAGTCTATTCCTACTGTAGTGATGAATTTGGGATTGAATTTATTGTCTGTGTATCTGTAAAGAAATGTTGTCTTCCCCACCCCTGAATCTCCGAGGGCCAGGAGTTTGATCAGATAATCATAGTCTCCATCGGTCATAGTGATGGTCTTGGTCGGTCTGTATAAGAGAGGGAAAAAAAGTGTTATGATTAAAGTTGATTTTCCTTTGCCTTATATCAAAATACAACACAAATTCAATTTTCAGGGTTAAAAAGTCTAATACCTCTATTCTGCCATATTCAAAATTAACTTGATCAAAGCAGCTTTTGGGGTGAAGGTACGTCTAGTATTTCACTGGGTACAAATCTTTTTACATCACAACATCTAATATGGAAAAATATGCAAAATACCAGTTGCCACAGTATATTAGTCTGTTCTCATGCTGCTGTAAAGAACTGCCTGAGACTTGGTAGTTTATAAAGGAAAGATGTTTGACTTACAGTTCCACAGTTGCACATGGCTAGGGAGGCCTCAAAAAACTTATAATCATGGCAGAAGGAATCTCTTAACAGGTGGCAGGAGAGAGAATGAGAGCTGAGCAAAAGGTGAAGCCCCTTGTAAAATCATCAGATCTTGTGCGAACTCACTCACATTCATGAGAACAGCATGAGTAGCATGAGGATAACTGCTCTCATGATTAAATTACCTCTCACTGCGTCGTTCCCCCAACACAAGGGGATTACAGGAACTACAATTCAAGGTAAGATTTGGGTAGGGACACAGTCAAACCATATCACACAGCCATAGTAGAACTTAAAGTAAAAAGTCATAGACTTGTGTTTTAAAACCAGCGCAGTTGGGATTAAGAGGATGGTATTAGGAAGAGAAGAGAGTCACAGGGGACAGAAAACCCAGTCCAAGACGATGTAGATATCCTAGAGAGAGACAGCACTTATAGGCAGATAATGGAAGAAAAAGGCAGAGGGATCTATTTTGCATCTAAACATGCAGGATAAGCCTTCTATATAATTTTTACACAAATCATTCCCTTTTAATTAAAAAAATTTAACAACTGGAATGAAAACCTTTAAACCTGTACTGGCAACACCAAGAATACCAGGACATGTATTTGAATGACACAATTACCTGCTTGGTGAAATATCCACTCTTGAGTTGAGCAAAATAATTTACTGTTTGGTACAACTGCCTGAATCATGGGTTATATTAATAGAAATGGGCTTGTCATATATGTAAAGGAAGGCCTATGAAGATTTTCTAGAATGCAAAGGTTTATCTCATTATTATGTGAGAAGGAGGAATACTTCCCCACCTCTGAAGATCCATAAAATGCTGTATTCTTTAAGCATTCTGGGGTAATTAAAATTAAATGTCAACAACAGCCTATTCTATGGACATGATATGGTTAGGCTTTGTGTCCTCACCCAAATCTCATCTTGAATTGTAATCCCCATAATACCCACATGTCAAGGGAGAGATCAGGTGGAGGTAAATGAATCATGGGGGTGGTTTCCCCAAGCTGTTCTCATGATAGTCAGTGAGTTCTTACAAGATTTGATAGTTTTATAAGGGGCCATTCCCCCTTTGCTATCTCCCTTTCTCCTGCTGCTTTGTGAAGAAGGGGCCTTGCTTTCCCTTTGCCTTCCACCATGATTGTAAGTTTCCTGAGGCCTCCTTCGCCACGCTGAACTGTTTTTTAATTAAACCTCTTTCCTTTATAAATTACCTATTCTTGGGCAGTTCTTTATAGCAGTATAAAATGGACTAACACAGGAAATATCTAAAATTACTAGATAATTCTAATAACTTTTTATGTGTAAAAAAATTGTACAAGTTCACGTAAAATAATTAAAACAATTTTTATATTGATACTTTAGTCATCAATCAAAACCAAAAAGTTTTCTGTCTTTGGATAAATAGTGATGAAGAATAGAATGAAGTACTCATCAAATAATTCAGGATCATTATATCATTTGGAATATTTGCAACTTTTTATATCATACTTTATGATGAATGTATGTTTCTTTAATGCATTAATGCTTTCTGAGGTCGGATGTTTTGAAAGTTGCCAATTCATACTTTTGCTCTAAAGCTTTCCTGCCATATAACACACTATCTTCACTAGTACAACTCTCTGGATGGATTTTTGCTGATCATGGATATTCTCTTCAAAAAAAAAAAAGATCTAGATAAAACATAATCATTTCTTAGGAAGAGACCCATAGCACCCATCAAGAATAGTCTTTCTTAATAAAATGATACACATCTCAACTATTGCCATGAAATTCTTGGAAAATGTCTATATTGTGTGACTGCCTAGAATGGACTGGTTCTGAGTTTCTCAGTTTCTCCAAAAAAAAAAAAAAATGTTTTTTGAGACAGAGTCTTACTCTGTCATCCAAGGGAAAGCACAGTGGCATTATCAGGGCTCACTGTAGCGTCAACCTTCCCTGGCTCAGATGATCTTCCCAACTCAGCCTTCCTGGCAGCTGGGACTACAGACACATGCCTCCATACCTGGTTTCATATATATATATATATATATGTGTGTGTGTGTGTGTGTGTGTGTGTGTGTGTGTGTGTATATACATGTGTATATATATATATGTGTGTATATATATGCACATTATAAATAAATGTACATATATACATAATATATATATATATATTATGTGTGTGTGTGTGTGTGTGTGTGTGTGTGTGTGTGTGTGTGTGTATTTTTGGTACAAATGGGGTTTCACTATTTTGCCCAGGCTGGTTTCAAACTCCTGGACTCAGGCAATCCACCCCATTTGGCTTCCCAAAGTGCTGGGATTACAGACATGAGTCATCATGCCTAGCCAGTTCTAAATATTTTACCAGGACTGTGTTGTTGAATATGGTGCTGCTCTTATTCTTAGTTGCTGCTCTTAGTCAACACAAATGGGTAGCTAGAGGAGTTTCCTGCCAAAGTAGTATGATTTTCCCCCATACTTAATGTCTGTTATCGCCATTACTCTACCTTTTTCTCTCTTCCCCTAAACTTGCTCATGTAAAACTATTTTGGAGGGTGATAATGTTTGTAATATCACTAGTAGAATTGGATGAAACTTGTAATTCTCAGAAAAGAGACAGTGCTTAAATTTATTCTAAGATATTAGTAACTAAAGCTAAATTCTTCCCTAGGCAAAAGCCTTAATTTTTTGAGTAGAGTTTTGGGGTGAGGATGTGAACTTGAAGCCACTGGATTCCATGGCTTCCTGAAGAAATGAAAAGAACAGAGTCTATAAGACACATTTGCATACTTTAAATTTTGCTTAAGGTTAGCTGTTTTTTGTTTTTGTTTTTTGCAAATGTGTGTGTGTGCCCGACAGTCTCAAGAAATGCTAAGTCATGAGCAAATCTAGTTAAATATCTTCAATAAATAGTGTTAGGCCCAAAGATGAAAATTTTAAAAATGGAAGGTCTAGTCTAGCTTCTGACAAGATATGAATTTGCTTAAAAGTGAAATAAGGATGTGAGAAAATACAATGTAATTTTGCAAGATAGAATGATTAATTGATAAATGAGTCAAATCCTTGTTGTGCTTTCAATTCAAACAGAACAGTATCTTCTTGGACTACAGGGACCCAAGAAGACTGCAGAAGAAACATTTGAATTTAACCTTATAGCATGGAGGGAAATTAGACATGAGGAGAGGAGGTACAGGACCATGGCATGGGAGATTACTTCCCGTTTGTAGAATGAGACTATTACCACTTACCAACTACATGACCTATCATATTTTCCTGACTGGCAGCCAGATTGTTCTCTGCTGTTTGTACATAAAACTGCCTGGGGCAATACTGGTGCTGCCTCCTAGTCAAAGTCTAAACCAGAGTGAAAAGTCCAGGCTAACACATCAATTCCTCTAAGTAAAGATGGTGAACACTTTGTGACACTTAAATGAAAAATCTGTATTTAGTGTCTCTAATAGGCTATTTGACATATTAAGTTAGGTATGAGATAGTTCACTTCTAAGTTCCTTTCAAAAATGAATTTTCTTATTTTTTATATGACTACTTTCCTGTCTCTCTCTCTCTCTCTACACACACACACACACACACACACACATACACACACACACACACACACACACACACACACACACACGTAGTATTTGGTTCAGCTCCTCTTTTTATTATTATGTGATTTTTTTGAGTCCTAAAATCACATAGCCTCAATATTCTATTGTTGGCTGTTGGTATGGCAAATATGACACTATAAAAAAAAATCTTTGGCAAACTTTCCTAGAACCGGGCTAAAAAAATGATGCGGAAAAGATCAAAAGGCTGACAAGTTTCACAGTATTGTTTATTCCTGCACAATGACTGATGGTCTTGCTGGTTCTTGGTTCTGGGGATATAAAAGGGTAGAAAAGGCCAGAAGATTGCAGTGTTTCAGGAAATGCTTCACACACAGTCCTTATCATGGTGTGACCAGCTGTACCACAAGAGCCGGAAGGAATTTTAGATACAGAGGAACCCTTTCATGGGTAGTCAAGTGGCTAAAAAGAGTAGGGAAAATAACTGAAATGTACCACATCCATGAGTCTCTGTTTAATGAAGAATCTTAAAGGTAGGAAGGGACCCAAGTAAACAGGTGGTCTAGCCCCTCAGTTTTTGGATGAGAAGTTACATGCAGAGAAGTCATGTGATTTGTGAGAGTGACAACTAGATTCGAATGGAGGAGAATCCAAGAGTATTATTATTATTTAAAATACAAAATGAGCTAGATAGAAACAAAGTAGGAATGTTTTCATTTTATATGGGAAGGGAATTTTATCCTAGATATAGACAGAAACAGAATTTCCATAGCTAGAATATCTCAAACCAAGTTACCCATGGATTCACTCTTCCCCACTCTAACTCTCAGCTCCCATAATTTTTGTTTAATGTAAGTTCCATTAGCATGAAACTTGATCTCTTTTGTCTATTGCTGGATCCACAAGCTCATCTCAGTGACTGCCATATAGAAGGAACTCAATACATATTTGTTGAGTGTATAAATTTACTTAAGCTATTCATAGCCATGTAAATGTCATGATTAATGAAATTAATGTCATGAGCCATTTGTGGAAGTGGCATCCATCCAAGTACAAGAACTTGGATTCTTTTTTTTTTTTTTTTTTTTTTTTTTGAG